ATATATCGTATTACAGCAATACATGCTTACCAGTATTTATAGCAGCACAATAGCTAAATCACAGAAGTGGTCTATATGTCCATCAACAGATGAATAAATAAAGAAAATCTGGTATGTATGCACAATGGAATACTACTCGGCCATGAAAAGGACAAACCTGGATCAGTTAGAGGAAAACGGATACACATTGAATCCATAATGTTAAGTGAAATAAATCAGACACATAAGCTTATATTTTGCATAATCTTATAAGAGAAAGCCAAAATATAAATAAGCAACAACGTAAAGATACAGCATAGGAAATAGAGATCTTTGGCAAATTGGAAAGGGACTGAAGATGGAGGAGGAGGGAAAGAAAGAAAGGAGACAAAAAGAAATAAGATGTATCATGTACATATGCCAGCATCAACAATGGATGTATTCATGATGTACTGCAAACAGCAATAAAATAAAATGCAAAAACGCAGGAATTCCTGATAAATGAAGAGAAGAACGTGAAGATATGTGACTAATGAAGAATCATGCATCCAATGATGCTAGTCTTCCCCTGTACAAAAATAAAGAAGAAGTAACTTATTTGAGCTGTTTCTTTAGCCAAACAAATACCCTTGATGCCTTCTATTTAAATTTACCAGAAAAGAACGCAGAAATGTGCAAGTACATCTGGAGGCTGAAGGAAAATGATAGAAAAGGAAATGTGTATATACAACATTGAATGAAGAGACCAGAAAATGTTAACTACATCAGTAAATATTTAAGACTTTTAATTGTATTTAATATGACATTGCTCAGGAGAACAGTTACTAAATGATAATTATCATATAATCACAGAAAATAAAATGGTCTGAATATCATAATTAAAAGAGTTCTATATGCTGTAGTATCTATGAGAATCATTCTATAAAGGCAAAAGATGTACAGGGCATTGTCCCTTTGGATTTTTAAAATAAAATGCCATTTGAGATCTTTTGTAGATTTCTGTATTGTAAGGTTTAAAAACTATGTTTTGCAGGTTGAATCTGATAGTATACTTAGTTTTATATTTCACATAAAGTAAGAATGGTATTTATTTATTTATTTACTTTGGTACCGAACTTGGGACCTTGTACTTGTGAGGCAGGCGGTGGCACCACTGAGCTAAATCCCCGGCCCAAGAATGGTTTTTATATTTTATTTTATTTTGTTTTTTGGTACCGGGGATCAAACTCGGGACCTTGCACTTATGAGGCAGGCAGCAGCACCACTGGGCTGAATCCCCAGCCCCTGGATTTTATATTTTAAATGATTAGAAAAACATTGACATCATAAGCACTTTGCATCACATTGAAGTTGTACACAATTCAAATGTTGTTATATGAAAATTAAGTGTTTTTTGGTGTACAGTTGAGCTCTCTTGTTTGCCCACCATTTATGGCTGTCTTAGTCTGTGGTGATGTTGAGTGGTTTCTGGAGACGCTGTTTATGCCCCTTCTTATGGCACACTGCTGTGCAATGCAGTGCATATCGCAGGGATGGGTCAGAATTTGACAGCATGCTCAGTATTACTTGTATTGCTGTACTGTGACATTTTATCCCACTTAAAAAATTAGCATCACCCGTGTTAAATCTCAGAACAAGAAATGAAAAGTGTACTTTGAACGCCATGCTTTTAAGGCACTGTATACTGTGAATTGTTTCATGTTCTAATTAGATGATACAGTGTTTCATTTTATATGTCAATATACAATATAATGCTAAAAAACCCAAACTGTATAAACATTACCAGTCTAAACACTTACTGTAATATTCTCAATTCATAGGAAAACCAACATCCAGGAAAATTGAAAACTGAAAATGGAATCTTGGTAGAATTGCTTCACAAAATTAAAAAATAAAAATGAGGCTAAACTGCTCAAGTAATTTTCTGAGTGACTTATTTATCAGCTAAGCACAGAAAGTCATTTTTGAATAATGAATTAATCAAGTAATGTTTGATTTCAGCCATGGAAGAAATCTATTAGACCATGCAAGTTTCATGAGACTATCAGCCATTTGGTGAGAACAGTTGTTCAGAGTTCAAGATGTTGAATACAATATCAGTTGTCAATTTAAAAAAAATGGTAGACTATTGTGAGTAGTTTTCCTGGCTCATGGTGATTTGGCACAGTTGGTTTTTTGAGGCGCTGTTGTGGAGTTAGAAGTGATGGAAAAAGCTATAGAAGAAAGTATTTTCAAAGAACATGAAAGAATACTAGGTCAGTAAAACTTAAAATGGAATTGCTAAGATGCAGTAAAAATGATGGTCGTAAAAATATTCATGAGAAAAAAAAAGAATTATTTGAACAAATACACAAAAGCTTGTGAAAATATAAAGTATTTAAAGCTTATATTTATTTGCTGTCATTATTCATCAGCCTGTATTTTGTGGAAAATAATTGAATTTATCATGCATTTATTATGACTTTAGAGTGAAGTTTTTGTGGTAGACTTAATAATCGTTTAAGTCAACTTAAAACTTCAGGGCAAAACATTAATATATTCCAACTTTAGACTGTGATAAATTCATTTCAATGATTTCTGATATTGTCTGAATTAAAAATTATGCCACGTTGCCTGCCATGGGGGTGCATTCCTTTAATCCCAGCACTTGGGAGGCTGAGGCAGGTGGATTGCTATGAGTTTGAGGTAAGCCTGGTCTACACAGTGAGTTCAAGGCAGCCTGGACTGCACAGTGAGATCTTGTCTCAAAACAGAAAAACAACAACAACAACAATGACGATGACGAAAACCAACTAATGTTAAGCTGTTTTATAAGTTTCTTATGTCAGAAAGTAAAGGGATAAAATTAAGTCGCACACATACACACACGCACACACACACACACACAAAATGTTAGAACGAAATGAGATCATCGTAAGTGTCCAGGTAATACTATCTCAGTTCTAACTAATCAGGTTATTGGGCTCTTGAAATATAAGTGAAACAAAATTTTATGATTTCTCGGAGCAGCATAGTTATAGCTCTGAGCTCTTGATACCAGCATTGGGTTTGTCAGTGGTATGTAGTATACATGGGGTGTCAACACACTGTTTTTTGTGGACAAAAATGAGGTAAGACTTGTGAGATAAGAGAGTTACTAAAATATACAGAAATGATAATACCTTGTAATTTTTGTGGAATCTAGTTTCAAAAAGAATCTAAAATGGTTGTATACTGTTATTAAAACTACATATTACACAGAAAATGGTTGGTTGACAGATGTATGGGCAATAAACCATTACCTTGGGCTAAGACAATATCAATTAAATTGGGTGCATTCATTCATCTATTGTAGGAAATTACAAAAGTCGTATGACTTTATTTCACATACAAATTTTTGTGGTAAATATCAAAGTATCAGAGCTTCTAAAAATGGTCAGAGGCATATCTTTTTGGTCATTAAAGCTTTCAAACTAAGGTATATTATTATTAAGGAAGTATGTTATCAACATTCACCATAATATGCGTACTTTATAAAATAAGATGTTACAGAAGTTATATGATAAAGAAATTGACATGAATATGATTTAGTTAAGTTAATCTAATAGGAAATATCCCTAAATTATTTTCAGATTCACCTTTACTCTCAAGTGTCTTTCTGAGAAAGGAGGTGGTGAACAGATAGGATCAGTAAATAACTCTTTGCTTATAGCATGTAAATCCAAATTGGATATTATTTTACCCTGCTGTGGCAAAGTAGTAGTTTATATGAACTACATTTTAGTAAACTCAAGTCTCACTCTTAAAAACCTTCTTTGGCTATGTTGCTCAAAATCTGTCAAGGTTCCAGCTATTACTCTCTAGCTATTAATTCTTATTCAAGGAATCTGGTTTTACTTGCTCAGAAGTTATTATAACTTCAGCATTTATTAATTTGAACCTTTCTCAATTAGAGACAGTATTATTTCTATCAGAAACAACTAATGAATGTAAGGCCAGTAATATTGGCCTTTCAGTACCATTTTCATCTTTTGGATGAAGCAAATACTTGCTAAAAGAGATGTTTCAGTAAAAACTACATAGCTGCTGGTAAGTGCCTATTTCAGACCAGGGATTTAGCTCAGTGGTGCTGCAGCCTGCCTCATAAGCAAAAGGTACAAAAAAAAAAAAATAGAATGCCTGTTTCACTCAAAAGATCAAATATCAAAGGATTCTCAAAAGATTTGAAAGATAGGCATTAAAAGAAAAACAGTACAGCAAAGAAAAATAGCAAGTTATATTGAATGGCAATAAGCAATAAAATAAAAAATATTGATATTTCCACCTAGAGTGGAAGAGCCCTGCAATCCTAAATATAAATGTGATCAGTCAGATAATTTAGATAGTGCTATGGCGAAGAATGCTACACTCATTTGTCCATTAAGTGAAATTTTATCCAGCAGGATTTTTTTCCTGTTTATGGGCTTCTTAACCATATTTTAAAACTGAAGTACTATTTAATGAAATGCTAGAGCCTTGTCTTCAAAATTAACACAAAGAATATCAGAAAGAGGTGAAGACACCCTCTTTTCTCTTGATTTCTTTCTCCATCTTAAAATTAGTTACAGCTAGCATAGACTCATTTCCAGAGGCAAACATGAATCAAAATGTTTAGACAATGCTTTAAATTATATCTTATTCTCTGAGGTAAGGAAAAACTATTAAATTTTTTGAAGGAGATTGTTTTCTTTCATTCTGTTGCCTTTTTCATCTTACTCTTTAATTCTGAGCTCTCTTCTGTAACTAATGCTTTGTATATTTTTAGTCATCTAGTAATCTTATTACACATGCTAAAGCCTCTTCATTTTGAGTTAGAAATGCCAAGGTTTAAAAGCTTCCTCATATCTTTTGCTAAGAGTTCCATGTTAATTATGAGACTCACTCAGTCCTCTTGATGGGAGTCATCTCAGCATAGCTGGTGTATGGCTGCAGACACATGTATGCAGATATGCATGATTTTGCCACGTATGTGCAATATTTAAAAATAGAAGCACTATACATACCCCTTGAATTTGTGCTATATCTGTGGCTAATGTTGTTGTTAAGGCTCCTGTGTTGTTTTCTTTATCATCAAACCAGGCAACATCCTAAGATAAACAGAATAAGCATATTGTTATCAAAAGCGTTCTTCTCTGATTTATGATTTGTTGTAGTAAGTGAGAAGGCGTTTATCTGCCTTCTTTCTTACTTGCCAGTACTTAATTCTTGTATATACTATAGATCAACTGACTTTTGCTTCTTGTTTCATAAAGATCTATATTTTGGAATAAACTGAAGAATTTAAGCCCAATAGTTTGGGTTCCTTGTTCCTTATACAGTATTGTGTAAGAGTCAGCATTGCTGGGTGTGGCGGTGCAATTTGGGAGGCTGAGGCAGGAGTATGGTCTTGAGTTTGAAGTAGCCTAGGATACATAGTTGTTCAAGGCCAGCCTTAATTAAATAGCCATACCTTGTCTCAAAAACAAAAAACAAAAAACAAAAAACAGTCAATGTTAAAAACAATGATTCAGGACCATCCAGTAATTTGTAATTTTACTCCACAAATATTTTGTGGAAGGCAGATTCTATTTAAATAAACAATGTACAATATAATTTTTTTTCAAATTTTACTTAATGTGTCTAATAATAAATGTCTGTCTCCTCTTTAGGATCCACCAGGGCAGAATTTTACCCAAGATTTTATGAGTGTTAGACATTGTGCAATGCTAAAAAGGCAGAAAGCTATAAAACTGCAGGCAAGAAACATGCAATCTAGGTAAGACAGGTAAAAAATACTAGCAATGAAAGCATAACATAAGAACCAATTACATTTTCAACAGCTACTAGAGACAGCATTTACTTGTACTTTTCAGCCCGAGGAGTCCTGATTTCTTTTCATTAGCTATTGAATGTTTCCTCCCACTCACTCAACCACTTCTGTCTTTTGTGGATTAAAACAATGTGGAGACTGTCTCTGACAAAATGATTTATATTTAGAAAGTAAAGAACAACAACAAAAAATGTTGGCTTACTGCAACTCAGCCAGGGTTTTGATGCCTAGATTACACATTGCTATAAATTAAGGAAACAAACACATAGCAGACTGAAGTTTGTGCATTAATCATGCAGTTGTGTTAGAAGAAAACTTCCAAAGAGGAATATGGCAGCAGCCAAGGTGGGTGCCGTATGAGGGCGCTACACTGTGAGCCACTGTACTGGAAAAGTGCCACAGTGAGTTTGGGGTCCTAGGTGCCCAAGGGGTCCTAGAGAGACCTCCATCTGCATTGCACGGTAACCAGTTGAAAGCACTGCACCCCACCAAGACCCTACCACACTGTGAGCACACATCAGCAACAGTGAGGTAATATTGCTGTCATACTTGGATTGGCCATCACCTCCTCTGATTATATAGACCCTCCCCCAAATTGAGGCATGCTATGTGTTCTGGTTTTCAATATGGCATGCAATACACAGAATTTTTCCATACAATGTAACACACAAATATAGATGGAAAATTTAATATTGAATATGAAATCTCTGATTCTACACTAACTTGGTATAATACACAATGCATAGTACATATAAATATGTGACTAGTCTTAGTCATCCTATGTTCCATCATCAAGATGTCCACAATTGCTCCTCAGCAAGTCAGCAATTATGCACTCTAGGAACTGTTTTCCTGCTGTATATGCCAAAACATGTACAGAGTGTCTGAAACCCAGCTAGTGTTGAGTCAAAATTAACTTGCTTTCCCGCTTCCTGATGGTAAAATAATTGTAAGTAAGGCCATCAGGTTTTTGATACTAGTATATCTACTCTTTCACCTGCCAATAGTAAATACAATCACAGTTTAATAGGTGATTGGAATGTATTTCTCATTTAATCACAACAAGCTTTTGAGGTAGCTATTGTGAATCTGCATTTACAAATGAGAAGCTGATGCACGGAGAGATGAAGTGACTTGCCCAAGGCCACACAGCTGGCTGGATTTGAACTTCAGCAGCCAGAAAGCAGAGAGCTTAAATAACGATCTTGTTTTGCCTCCCATCTGTCGGAAGCATCACCGTTTTGTTACCTACTTCCTCTTGCTCCAAGACTTATTAACCTCAAATCCTTTTGGAAATGGCTTAAGCATTTTTTGAGGCTCCTTAGTGGCCACCACCAATATTGTCATCCAGTGATTTAAAGGCCCTCACAGAAACCCTAGCCAATCTAATAGATGGCAATGGCCTCAAATAAATTTTATACATGTTCAAAATCCCTATAGTATCATAGGTCAATATTAATAGTTAATACATGTAAATTTAACTTGAAACACAAGGAACCAATCGTTGACAGCGTGGAGGTCAGTAACAATTAGAATATTTATTTCAACTGGAAGTACCAAAGTAATCGCATAAAATACAGCTCTTATACATATAAAAAGACCATACCTAATTCTATAAATGCCTCTCTCTCAACTGAGATTTCAAAGTGGTTACATTAAGCTCTGAAAGTCTCAGCATACTTTGAAGCCTTACAAAGTCTTAGGACAAAAAACTGTTAATAAAGTTAGATAAAAACCACAGATTAGGAACTTCTCTTACTATGGACAAAGCAGAATCACAAAGCCATTTAAAAAGGCCAATTACATAATTCTTTTCTTTTACTCTAATTTTATTTATTTATTATTTTTGGTACCGGGGATTGAACTTGGGTCCTTTTGCTTACAAGGCAGGCAGTGGAACCACTGAGCTAAATCCTGGACCCTACTCTAATTTTAAAAGCAAAGAACATAAAAAGAATATTAAAGACAGATGAAGGAAAACAAATAGATACAAAAAGTTGCACTGTGGAAGGTTTCTAAGTGCTCTGCATATATGCATATCTTTTGAAGGACAGAGTTCATTGCTTATAGATTAGACCCTGCTTATGAGCAGTATTTTATCCAAGAATGTTGCTTTGCTAGTGTTAAAATAGCTGATTCTAGACAAAAGTATATGTCCAAGATATTAGACTGACAATAGTTGCACTGGCTAAACTGGCTCATGGCCTTGCAATTCTTCTATTAAAAGCGTTCTGTTAAAAAAGAAATTTAAAGTGATGTTTTAATGATAGGAAAAAATTCAAATTCATATTCTTCTGTATAAAAACATCCAGACATTAAAAAAGCATTAAAAATTCCTGGAAATAGTAATATCCTTGAACAGGGAAAGACAAAAATGCATGAAGATAAAAACAAACAGAAATTGTCCAAAAGTGTGAAAAAACATAGTAATAGTTACAATCTCCACCTACACATAAGATTTTAGGTAAGGACATAAAGTGTTGATAAATAAAATACAAAGCACAAATGTAGCACAAATATTTGCAGGCATTAGTTATGATCCCTCAAGTAGATTTTTATTTTCCTAGATTAAAGAGTGCCTGCAAACATAGAACAAAAATCTGAGGCAGGACCTTTTCCTTTCCATTTATTTAGGTGGGTATGGGGAGTCAAACTCAGGACCTTGGGCTTGCCAGGCCAGCTCAGGAGGCAGGACCCTTTTAAGCAGAAGTTGTAAGGGCACTGACTGCTTCAGAGCTTCAAATTGTCATCAAAAACTCCAACATTGCTTTACTACATTTTGTGTTTTGCAGTTCCCCAAGACTACAAAGACTACAGAATTTTGTTACATGACATCCCTAAGAGTACTCCTAAAAGTCATAAGATGTAAACACTGGTTTTGATGACCCTGCTGGAGTGACAGTCTGTTTCTGAAAAGAAATGACCCTGGCAGGAAGCTATTCGCTCCTCCTTGGTGAGATTTGGTGACAGAAAGTGAGGCAGAAGGCCCCAAATGATTATTGCCTTTCAGGGTAACTTAATACTCCCTACTCATGAAAGAACTTTAGAGGTGCCATTTGCCCCCAAAACTCACTTTGGCAGATTACTACTTGATCCACCTACTTTAGTTCTTTCACAGTGTGATTGATCATCTGAATGCAGCACGCAGACTTGTAGCTAGACGGATGTTATCTGACTGCAGGACTCTTTCCATAAGGGCAGACGTATTGGCTGTCGTAAGAAGCATGGTGTGAAAAACTGAAACTGGCCCACAGTTGAGAAATAGAGGTATTATCAACTCTTTCCTTTCCAGTATGTCCCCAAGATATTGTTACTCTTACCTCTCCTTTTCAGTTTAAATTTGGTCTTTAGTTCTGATCCTACAGCACTATATTATGCATTGAAAGAGAGATTGGTTAAATTGAACATAACAGGAGTGAACCCAAGTGCTTGTTTTCAATGAATTTTATTTTCAGTCATCACAATTTTTGACCTGAAGTTTTATTAGGAAAATGTAAGAATTTTGACATCAATTTTTGATGCTAAGGACAAAACAAAAACAAACAACCCCCCAAAAGCCCCATGCTTTTCAATTATCCAGTGGAAAGACTATGACAAGAAATTACCTAAGAAAGAACTAAAAACTGGCATCATTTACAAATTTTGAATAAAATATGAAAAACTCAACTAAACACACTGACCTGATATAACATGGCTCTGAATGCCAAACGTCTTAATCTCATGGTTAAAATTTCCCCTGCTTTGCCATAAAACAAACCCTGGAAAACAAAAAGTCAGTCTTCACTTATTCTTAACTCTCTTTACTGTTTCTTTGTAATGTTTGCTTCTTATATTTTTAACAGAAATGGAAAGGAGGACATCAAAAAGTAATCCTTCACAGGATTATTTAATTTATTAAGAGTTTACCTGCATGAAGTAACTGATAAAGCAAATAATTCCCAAAATGACAAATATCATGGAATAAATTTCTGCATCATGTTTTAATGTGGGTTTGTTAACATCTTCAAACATCTGAAGGGGATTATTTTTCATCAGTGATTTGGAGGGAAATATAAAAGAAAGAGAAAAAATTAAAATACTCATATACATCAGGATTTTCTAAATGAATTAAAACATAAAATGACTGCACATTTCTGAATAATGTCTGCATTGAGTACATATAAAAAAATTTAAATGGCTCACATTTGTTATATAACATCAGACAAATGAGTCCTCATCATACAAATCGCCAGTCTGAATTATGTCTAATAAATTTGAATAACTCATATTCATTAAAGTTCATGTATTTAGAATACCACCAGCAATGTACCCCTAGAATTCATTCTGACGGTTAGGAATTATGTATATATCTCCATTTATGTTGATGAAATGCAGCTGTGCAAAGCAGACACTGAAGACTCAACAAAGGACCCAGAAAGATCCTTGAACCAACCAACTTGTCTTGGTCTGTGGCCCAATCTCAAACTCTTTTTTTTTTCCTCCCTGAGCTGGCTTATCATAAAATAGTTGCCACTATTTCAACTAGTTGAAAGTAGAGTAGTTCTATTTGTCTCTTTTATTGCTTTATAGCGTTAGAATGTGGATACAACACTGAAGTAAAATTTAGAAAACAAAACAATTTTTTAAATTTTTTCCCAGTCAACAAGACCCAGCCAAACATAACACAATAGATGTGATTTATCCCCCAGGAACATTAGTTGACCTTTCTACTAGGATTCCACCCTAGATGTGACCCACTGAAAGTCCCAATGTCCTTTTTGCTAATCAGTGTATAATGAGTCAGTTCCTTTAAACTTCAATTTATTTAAATTGTTAAAGAGTCCTAGTGAATGGGTTTTACTTACAGTTATGATTTTTGCAAAGATGACAGAAAATACTGGATGAACAGTTCCATTTAGAACAGAAGCCAGTGTCCCCAGCACAACAAAAGGCCATTCAGACTTGTTTAATTTAAAAATTTTTAATAGAGAAACTTCAGGAAGCTTTGTCTGTAAAGATAATATATTGGTTTAAAGTTCCATTTACAGAGCACAGAAAAGTTAGCCAATCACAAACGAAAGTGTAGCAGGGTAGGAGTTGTAATTTTTTAAGAAAAATTTCACTGTCAGTATTACTAATGATGATAAAACATAAAGGAATCTTACCCCAAAGTGGCTATTTGTGCAGTATCGCTTTTTGGCAGTTCACTTGGTATCATTAAGAAAATGCAAATTAGTTTACATATTCTACTAGCTAAGAATCACACACACTAAAAAATGCTACATAGGCCTATTTTTTTTTGTTTGTCTTTTGTTTGTTTGTTTGTTTTTGTTTCACTATGTAGTCGAGACTGACCTTGGAACTCACTGTGTAGCCCAGGCTGGTCTTGAACTCACAGCGATCCTCCTGCCTCAGCCTCCCAACCTCGTCCAGCTCCTTTTTTTTTTTTCATCGGGGATTGACCTCAGAACCTTGTGCTTGTGAGGCAGTCAGGGTGCCACTGAGCTAAATCCCCTGGCCCAGGCCTGTTTTTCTTTACTTTTATTCAACTAGGTTCAATATCATACTCTGGGATAGGACAAAGCCTGGATAGGCACTACTCTGGGTAAGCAGAGAAAAGACCAAAGACAAAAGTTTTACTGGAATTTTTAAGCCTGAAAGTTTTCCAGTTTTGATTTATTTACAAAAATATTTTGTAATGTCTTGGTTAAAAGCTTGCTTTGAGCTTCCTACTTACATCTAGAGTGCTGCAATATCTAAGCGTATTACTTAACCTTGCCAAGTTTTAGCTTCTCATCTTTGGGAGGCAGTGGTGGGTTCAGGAAAAGAGTGAGGTGAGGTGGAAGCTGAAGCCAATGTTCAGGGGTTCAGCTGAGCGATTTTGAGGTGTGTGAGGTTATAAATGCAAAGCAACGCACAGGTGTCAGTCAAACCTGACTGGGACTAGGGAGAAGGCTGGAGCTTAGGGAATGGGGGCGCGGAAGAGGCATGGCACAGATGAGGTCGAGATGGAATGATGCCTGTGAAATGCTGCCGTGGAGAACAGTCAGAGTGGGGACTGAGATGCGAACACGGGTGCTGGGCATGTTAGCCGGAAGGAGTCTAAACTGGGACTGAGAACGAGACTTGAGAAATGAGGTCAGGTGGAGACTGAACAGAAGTGCCAAGGGTCCACAGTGCAGGAGGCTAAAGCAGGGTGATCTCAGGATGAGCCTGGGGTTGGGAGCGGGGAGGAACAAGCATGGAAACAGGCTTTCCTGCCCCAGGGAGCAAGCTGCTCAGGCATGCCCTGGGACAGGAGGCCTCCATTGCCCCTGCTGGGGCTGATCCACAAACGGGGAGTGGGGTGCATTTATGTCCCGTGTGACACCCACTAGTCTTGAGCACTACAGGTGGTATCTATACCTCACTTCCCAAGACACTGTTTTGACCCATGGTTTGCCTTATAGGAAAGAAAAAGGCAATATTTTCATGGGAGTTTCTGCCTCAAAGGACCACTGACATAAGTGCAGTTAAAAAAATTCATTAAATTTATTGGTACATTTTAGGTATGCAATATGATGACATTCATCACTGGGATCTTGTACCTTTACATGATGTATCTTGGTTCTTATTTTTTCCCCTCATTCCCCTGCCTTCCCCTATAACCCCTCCCTATTTACAGAGGCTTTGTTTCCGGATTTTTCTTTTCTCATATTTATTCCTTTCCCCTACCCCTCCCAATTCCCCTTTCCCTTTGGACATTTTCTTCCTATTTCAAATGATCTATTATACATTTTGTTCCATAAGTGCAGTTTTTAGATTGGCCTCCATCCTTAGGCTGTTACAGGGATGCTAGGGGAAGTTTGGAAAAGATATATTTTATGATTTTAGTGCCACAGTGATATTTAATCGTAAGTTAATTCTAAATTTTATGAGGACTAAATAAAAATTTGAGAACACGTGGGATGAACTTGTCGCTAGTTGAGCCATTACCTCTTTACAAGGGATGGATTCCTCAGACTTGGCTGCACTGTCTGACTTGATGCTATTTACAGCACACAGAGAAACAGGGCTGGTATTTCTTTCAGTAGAATGTGCCATTGAATCCATCTGTTCGTCAGCCTTTTTAATATCCTTAAATGAAGAATATATAGGTTTTTCATTAGGATGATGCCTTAAAAATTAAAAGAATTTTATTAAGCATTCTTTTAAAACTATTATTGCTTTTGCTGTTGAAAGTGGCATATTCTTATGCAGTTTTCAGACTTGATTGAGAGCTACTAATTCTAAGTCATACTGAAATGTTAGCCACCGACAATAGCTTTTTATATCTTCTTTTCCAAAGACATAATTACTGGAGAAAACAATGCCTTAATTTAAAGCAATTATACCGGGAAGGGCAGAACTTAGTAAAAGTATCTTTCTGAGACAGACGCTACACTGCTCGATCTCTTCTTCCTTCCTTTCTTTGGAGATTACCAATGTATAACATGGAGCTGACCCGCCACGCTGCCCATCCCAGCTGTGAGCACCAACCAAAACTGAGGGCCTGAGTCTTAAAGCATAAGAAAATAAAATGACATCACATTGACCCGAAGATACTGTGACAATTATAGGTTAGGATAAAGTTCTACATCAGGTCACTCTAGGTCTCGTTTTTCTTTTCTCGCAACTCAGAGAAATGAGACCAATTTTAGTAAAATGGTGGAGCAGCATCTTCTCTGTGTATTTGAATGTGGTGTAGGAGATTTGTGACTTCCTCATGCTAAGAAGGGAGAAGGACAAGAAAGATCCCAGGAGCCCAGGTAGGATGACAGCAGGCTGGGGGTAGAGATGGAAAGGTGTGGGTGGATTCAGGTGTGTAAGGAGAATGAACACACGGCAGGCATTCCAGGGACTCTGACTCCTTGACAAGCTTAGCGACTGTTAATCAGTTACACAATGGACAATGAACTTTAAGTGGCCCTGTGATCTCATTAATATCTTTAATCAGACATTCCTTCATGCTATCACTTTCTTTTCTGTAAATTTCTCTACCATGAAAGGAATCTATTGTTTGCTTCTTCTAGGAATTATTTACTCTTTTTTGGTACTGGGTCGAATTTGGGTCTCTGCATTTGCAAAGCAGGCGCCAGAACCACTGAGTTAAATCCCTAATCCTAGGAATTATTTACTTTGTGCAAAGTTTAAAATAAAACTTTGACCTATTTTCATAGTGATATTTTTAAGCACAGTGTTTTAATAAGGTAAAGACAATTCATTTTCCTAAGAAAACTGCTATCCAAAATAAAAATGATAACAAGAAGTTTTGATATGTATATATATATATATTATATATATATATGTATACATATCTCAACATGTTTTTATTTCATTTTCACATGGACTCTTGCTAAAGGAATATGTCTGCATATAATTCTGTAGAGTCTGGATAATTATAATACTAATATCTATGGTTTGAACTTTTCTGAAAAGATTGAATGGATAATGCTGATACTGATGATAGTAATGATGATGTAATAATGTTTATTTTGCCAACAATAATTCTTATCTCATTTAATAGTCAATAATTAATAGGTTACTATTATTTTCCCCATGTTAGAGATTACAAAATCAAAGTACAGAGAATTTAAGTGGCTGTGCTTCATAACTTTCTATGTTTCCAAATTGTAAATAATAATAGAGATATCAAAGACAGGAAGTTTGAAAAGTAAAATATACAGACAAAGTTTAAAATTATTTATCTGCAGAGATCCTTTGTAAGAAGGGTGACTTCCAGGTTAGTAGAAGAAAATAGAGTAAAATGAAGAAAATGGCTAGGGCTTAACCCCTATCACTTACATTTACCTGCCCTAAGGAAGAAGTTCTGCAAAATCTAGGAGGGTGGATCTCACAGTATACAAAAATGTGGATCCTAAAGAATGGGGATTTGCCATGTACTCCCCCATCATCATGCCTCCTCCTGATTGGCTAAAGTGACTTCCTAGTCCACTAGTGAGAATGTGACACATCCCCAGTATGACTTTGTTTATCTGTCCTCATTCAGCAGATATTTACAGAGTGCCTATTGTGTGCTCTGCCCTGTACTAGGTGCTTTCTTTCTACACATTAAAATTTGACCCTTCTGTCTAGCTATCAAGAACTTCCATGATTGGACCTTTATTGTCTCCTTTTCTACCAACATTCATCTTTATGCATGGAAGGTTGATCTCCTTTCCCTTTTAGTTGCACATGAAGTGCCTTTTGCCTCTGTGCTGCTGTCCCACCTACTTTATTCCACCTCTATCTTTCCCTTCTTTTCCTCCTTTTTTAGTGTTCAAGGCTCTGTCACCCCGGTCAGTTTTGCTTATTTCTGCAACTTGTAATCTCTTTATGCACAATTCTGCATTTTTCCTTTGTAGCTCAGTTTTAAGTTTTGAAGCAGGGATTGTGTATTACATTTCTTTGTATTCTAATAATAGATGACAGAATGTTGAGTTAGTCTTGGATCTTCAGCATACACACTTTGAAGGCTGTTTTTTTGTGCCTGACTAACAGTAGATATTGTATATCATGAGTTCTTTAACCTGAATCATATTTCTGTCAAAGTGCAGAGGATATTATGCACAATTTCATCACTAAAGAACTTTAAGTAAATCTTGGTTGCTGCAAAATTTAAGATTGAAATTTGGGACTTCTGTTTTCTAAGTGTGCTGTTATCTCTGAAAAGTTAAAAAGAAACCTGTTGGTACGATGTTATGAATGTAAACATTACCTGTGACATTGCAAGTGAATAATATACACCTTGTTTTTCCATTAGTTCAGCATGTGTTCCTTTTTCCGCCACCATCCCATCCTTTATAGTCACAATCACATCTGCATTTCGAATAGTGGAAAATCGGTGAGCTACCACAATTGTAGTCCGACCTTTGCTTGCCTACAGAACAAAAAGTATAAGAATAAACATAAAGTTAGTAGAAATAAGTAAAGACTTCTTTATTATTTTAAACATCAAAGAATCTTTGTTTAATGTGGAAAGAATGTTAATTTGATTCCATATTAGTGGTTTTATAAAACCATAGTTTTTTAGAACTAGAAAGAAACCTATCGACTATTTCTGACCTTTCTAATGGCAAAAACCAAAAGTGAGTAACTTAAATTCACTATTTCTCATCTCTAAGGTGGGATATTCTTTAACTAGTTGTGTACAAATTCAAGGTAATTATATGTTTAGAAGTATTTTAAACACATGGAAAAACACACCTGATAGGGGAAGAGATCAACACATTTTCAAATGGAATACACCTAGACCATAGCCACCAAATCAAGAAATAGATCATATCAGCACCTAGAAGCCATTCTCATTCTTTCTTCCTGTCCATCCCTATGATTCAGTGCTCTTTTCTAAAAGTTTACAATGAGATATGACTGGAACAAAATACCCTTTCATTTTTTAAAAATTGAAAGCAGTTTATTACATCACATTAATTAGCTAGCAAACTATGAACAACAGACTAAGAAAACTAATGTATAAGAAGAAAGCCTACAGTTTCAATAAAAACTCACAATATAGTTAATCTGATGTAAAATGATGGTTGTAGCTATTACAGTGTTACATGGTGATTAAACACAAAAGGTAAGCAGTCTCATAAAATACAGAGTTCATAATTTTTTAAAGGCAAGCCTAATATTCAATATTTTATCATTTGTATTTTCTGGAATCACACTTCTTTGGTTTGAATCTTGTTTCTGCCTATTTATGGTTTTATGATCTTAGACAAGTTGCTTAATTTCCCTAAGTCTTAATTTCTTCATTTTCCATATGGGGAAAATTATGGTACCTATATTTTATCTTTTTTTGGTACCGGGGATTGAACTCGGGTCTTTGCGCTTGCAAGGCAGGCCACCAAACCACTGAGCTAAATCCCCAGCCTTGGTATCTATATTTTAAAGTTGTGCAGAATTTTTTGTGGTTAAAAACATTTATGAGATCTACTCTTTTAATAACTTTAAGGGCATAATATAGTTTTGTTATTGAAAGTATATTGGGTAGTGGATCTATAGAAATTATTAATTTTGCACAACTGAAACTTTATACCCATTGAATAGAAACTCTCTGTCTCTTCACTCATTCAATGGCAACCACCATTCAAATTTTTCTTTTACAAGTTTGATTATTTTTGATACCGCATATCAATGGAATCTGCAATGGGCATGTTTTAGTTAGCATGTCAGCCAGATTCATCCATGTTGTCTAGAATGACAGAATCTTATTCTTTTTAAATATAAGTAACATTCACTTGTTTGTATACACCATGTTTTTCTTTACCTGGTAATGTATTGATGGGCATTTAGGTTGTTTTCATGTTTTGACTTTAGAGAATAATGTTGCACTGAACAGGGGAGTGCATATATCTCTTTGAAATATCTATTTCAATTTTTTGGGTACATTATCACCAGAAAGAGGATTGCTGGATTGTATGATAATTCTATTTTTAATTTTTCTGGAAATTCTCTACTATTTTTCATAAAGGCTGAGCCTTTATACCTTCCTACCAATAATACAAAAAGGTTTAATTTTTTCATATCTCTACCAACATTTGTTATCTTTTAAATTTTTTAGTTATTTGTTTTTACAATAGTTGTTCTAGCCACTCTAATAGTACTGAGAAAATGTCTCATTGTGGTTTTGATCTTTATTTCTTTGATAACTAGTGATGACAAGAATCATATACTTGTTGGCTGTTTGCATGTATTCATTGGAGAAATGTCATTTCAAGATCTTTGCCCACATTATTGTTATTTTTATTATTATCACTGAGTTGTAAGCATGCCTTTAATATTTTAGATTCCTTATCATATATTCTGTTATTTTGTAGGTTGCCTATTGATTGTTTTCTTTGCTATGTAGAAAGTTTTTGTTTGATTTAATTCTACCTCTCTAATTTTACTTTTGTTGCTTACATTTTTGGTATCACAGCCAGTAAATAACTGCCCATATTATGAAGGTCTTCCCCATGTTTTCTTTTAAGAGTTTTACAATTTAATATCTTACATTTAATTCTTTACTTTGAGTTGGTTTTTTATGTACAGTGAAAGATAAGGGTCCAATTTTATTTTTTTTTAGCATATGGATGTCCAATTTACCCAACACCATTTATTGAGTAGTTATCTGTCTTCTCCCCAATGTGTAGTTTTGGAACTCTCAATGATCACAGTAAATGCAAATGGAATAAAAACTTCTATTAGAACTCAAGAGATTATCAGATTGATATAAAAACCAAGATCCAACTCTATAACACCTATAAATATTATTATTATGCAAAGATAAAAATAGATCAAGAATAAAAGGACAAAAAATACCAGGATAGCACTAAGTAAATAAAAGTTGGAATGGATGTATTAGTATTAGATAAACATAAAGTAGAGAGAAGAGTAAATGATATAAGTACAGTAAAGAAGTTTATTTCCTAGTAATAAGGGTTCAAGTCATCTAGAAGACACTGCAATCATAAATGTCTATTTACCTAATAACAGAACTCTAAAATATACAACACCAAAATAGATACAACTGCAAGGACAAATCTATAAAACACAAAAATAGTTCGATAATTCAGTATCCCTCCCTCAATAACTGACAGAGTAAGTAGCTAGTAGAATAAGGGAGATGAATAACAGTATCTTCCTGGCATGCATAGAACATGCCACCCAACAACAGTAAAATCCACAGTGGTTTCATTTAACAAGACAGGCCATAACCTGTGCCATTAATCCAGCCTTATCATTTTTTTAATGTCTACAAAGTATACTCTCTTACTGGAATAGAATTAAATGATAAACCAACTATTTGGAACAAAAATTTCCAAGTAAATGACCTCAAGTTCAACTGAAAAATCCGAAAAAGAAGAGCAAGTCAGGGCCAGGGATTTGGCTCAGTGATTCAGCTGCCTGTCTTTTTTTTTTTTTTTTTAATTGGGTTTGGATACAGTACAGTTACATTCATTGTTGGGATCATGTACCTTTACATGGCAAGTCTTGATTCTCATTTTTTCCCCTTACCTCTGCCCTCCCTTCACCCCCTCCTCCCCTCCCCATCTACAAACACTTTATTTTCATCTTTTCATTCTCTCACATTTTTTTCTTTTCCCTTTTTGTTCTTCCCCTACGTATCACACCTTCCCTACACCTTTATCAGCTGCCTGTCTTACAAGCACAAGGGCCTGAGTTTGATCCCCAGTACAAAAGAAAGAAGAGCAAGTTAAACTCAAAGTAAGCAGAAAAAAGGAAGCTAATTAAATACTAAAGAGAAAATCAAGCAGAATATATTGAGTTAAGAAATATATTGACACCTGTAGGACGACTGTTTTATACAAATGTGCGAAGGTAAAAAGTTTAGACAAAACAATCTTTTTAAACAAATTGGTACTGGATCCACTTGGAGGTGAAAAAAAGACTCAAACCACAGAAATTAACTAGAAATTGATTATAAACCTAAATTTAAAAAGAAAATCCTGATTGGTCCAGCGCCAGGAAGGTAGCCTGGGCCCCAATCCACCAAGGGAAGGATAGCCATGTCCTCTCCTAACCCGAGCCACCATTGCTCCAGCACCATGCAGGCACCCCTGAACCCCCATAACTCCCCTTACCCCCACCCCTGTGGGCACTCTCAGACCTCCTCATTGTCCCAGTCTTTGGACCCACTCTGCAGAGGCAGAGGTGGTCGTAAAGGGTATTTTTCTGAGTTCCCAACTTTGAACATCTTTAAAGAAAGGGCGTGGGAAACCTGTAGTAGAATGGTGTGGAGTTCAACCATTCAGAAGGTTGCGGAACTCAATCTGGGCCTTGCAGCCCGATGTCAGTCAGCATCATGGGGTTCAGCCATCAGCTAACTGAGACCAGGGGACTTGCATCCTCGCTCTGTCTGAGCCATTAAATGGTAAATATACTATATTGAAATTTTGTTCACTGCAGACATGTTCTGGACTGCTTCTTGATTTCAGTTTAATTCAAAGGGTTTAAGGGTGATAGACTAGTGACTACCACAGGTGGTCAGTTTCCAATTTGTGCTTGATCTTAATGTGTTGCTGATTGTATCAGTTGGGATAAAGGATTGTGGTTGATTTGATGAGCTGTTTTCTCTGATGTTATGAAGATGAGAATGTCTGTGGGTCGTTAGAGACCCAGAAGCTAGGACGCAACTATGTCAGGAAGATTTGGGTGATAACCCAGAGATTAAACCAAGGACAGTCCGACAACAAAAATAAAAATGAGAAAACACTTAAGCAAGACACAGAGACAGACTTCTAGTTCACCAATGGCAAACAGTAGGGCAAATGAGGATGAAAAGGCTGATAGGGAACTACAAGGACACCCTGAACTCAATGCACAGGAAGTAACAAAACAGATCAATCAGGCTCTTGAAAAATTCAAAACAGAAATAATTTCCCAGATAAACATAGAGATGGTGAGCAAAATGAAAGTCATGATTTGAGACTCTAGAGCAGAAACTGACAAAAAAAATGGATGAGCTCAGGACCATGATAGAAGCCATGAAGGCCCAGCATAAAAAAGAAATGGAAACAATGAACACCCAACATAGGAAAGAAATGGAATCCATAAAACAGATTCAAACAGATATCCAGGTGATTAAACACTCCCTTGAAAGTGTACTCAACAGAATAAAAGAATGCAAAGATAGACTCTCAGATATAGAAGATAAGATTGCAGTCAGTGACTGTGAAAAGAGGTCTCTTAAAAACAGTAGGGGATCATGAGAAATCAATCCAACAACTCCTAGATGATGGAAAGAAGAATAACATAAGACTAATAGGAATCCATGAAGTAGTAGGAGAAAATACAAATGACTTAAAAAAGCTGTTCACAGAATTAATGACAGAAAACTTCCCACACAGAGGGGAAGAATTTGACATTCAGATA